ATTAATTAATTTTTAAAGTATTATATATATATATTATTAATAAATGTGTCACAGGGAAGTTGAACAGTATAAGAATTTAGAATTAATTAGAACCGATTATACTAAATTAAAGAATAAGATTGATAAATTAAATCAGTCGAAATTAATTTACAAAATATTCTGTAAATGTGATAACGGTTATATAGGACAAATGAAATTAAAACTCAAAAAAAAGAATAGATCAACATAGAAATGATTGTACACTTATTAATGCAGAAAAAATTAATACCACAGCGTTAACTGAACATCACTTTAAAACAGGAGACATAATTTGAAATTTGACAGAACAATTATTTTAACAATTGATACAAAAGAAATGTATAAATGAAATGTATCACATAGTAAACAACAATACAATTAATTACAGAACAGATGTAAATAATTTAAATAGCATTTATAACGAAATATTAAGGTTTAACTATCATCAATAGGATGCAGTAATATAGAAGACACCATAATAGTAAAAATACTTAGACTATTAGATACTAGTCTAGATTGAATCAGTATTGTTTTGATTACGTGTTTAAATATAACAGTTTATGAACTTTAACGATCGAGGTAATATTATAAATAACTATGTTTTAAATGTTTTTTTATAATATGTATTTTTAAACAAAAAGTCGTAATAAAATTTCAGTTGGTGAAGAAGTTTTGATGAAGGCTGGAAAACGTTCAATAAAATCGAAATAACGTTTTAAATTTTTACCCTGTTCAACTTTCCTGCGACACATTTATTAATAATTTTATTTTTGAACGTGATAAACAATTAATTGATTATAATATATTACCATTACGATTGTGCAATTTTATAATACAATTTTTATATACAATTTGTGTATACACAAATCAAAATAATAGAATTAATTTTTTCAATGCTCTAATTTCCAAACAACATTGTATCATAATCTAATATCTATCTGTATTGTTTGTTTATTTATATTACATAACCGGCCCGTTGTGCTAATAGAGTACCATCTACTTTAAATTTTTAAAATACGGTTATTGCCCAATCTGGAATAAACTTTAACAATAAACCATATACAAACATTTATATAAATATTATCAATTTCGATGCTCATCTGTTAGCCTAAGATAGCCTAGGATTTTATAAATTTCAAATTTTCTTACAGTTATTAATCCCATCGATTATAACTACACAATTTATTAGCTCGTTTTTATTAATATTGTTAACAAATGGCTTCCATTTATCAAGTTGAAATTTATTAAATGGTAAAATACAATTTTATGGAAAGAATTAAGGTTTTGAATTTAGAAGACCGTTAAAAGCGTTATTATTAAGGTCAGCAGGTTATGGGTGTCCTTAAATTAATACAATTCATTTCATAAAAGATTATTTATTTGATATATATATATATATGATAAAAATAGCACTCTTTTATTATCCTACAATTAAAAATACAAAACGTGTAGTTTATATTGTTTATTAATATCTATTATTTAATAATTTATATATTTAAATCTAATCTGCACACAAAAGTCAATAAAAAAACTCAGTAACCAAGTATACAATTAAAATAAGATAACTATTAGATCAATATAAACCATATACAAATATCTCTGAAGTATAAAATTTATATAAATTGACCAGATACTTTATGCAATTTGAAAGTTTAAGGGTTGTTAACAAGATAAAAGATTGTTTTCTGGGAAGATCGTTGGATTGGTCGTTGATAGGCTCACCTGAAGTGTTCTTCAGCTGGTGAATAATCCACGAAAGGGAAGGCATTACGAGCCAGTGATCTGAGGGTACTCGTCTGTGAGGACCCAGAAGGACCACCGTGATCGACGTGGTAATGGTATCTCAAGAAAATATAATATCCCTTGGCCTTGTTTCCCCGCTCGAATCCAAACACAAGCCAAAGGTGAACATACGTGTTCATATGTTCGCATGCATATACATGTCCTGTATATATATATATATATATACATTGATGCTAATGAAAAAGAGAGAGATAGTTAGATAAAAGGATGTATGGGGGTTGGTGGAGAAGGGTACCGATCACCGAATGAACCATTAGTATCCCGTATCGTCGGCACCGAGATATCCTGGAACGCAATTATCCAACCGACGGCGGCCTGTTCACTCGTTCATTCGTTCATAAATTCGTTCATTCGTTCGTACGCCATCGATGTCATCGAGAACAGCTCAACCTACGATGGTGTATAGAAAGAATTTGATGCCAATGTCGATACCTTTTCTTCAACACTGACGAGATCAAACTACCAACACTTAGGATCTCTCATGCTGATGTTTCATACCGTTTTTTTTCTTAGTACGTTATGTGTATCATTATCAGTTGTTGAATAACAACATTTTTCAGTTCTGTATATTATTGATCTTTCATTTGAAAATAATTGTTAAGATTGTTTTATTTATTAAGTAAGAATCCTATGTTTGTACTTTTATTAATTTTATTTTGTCTGTAATTATTTGATTGTTATTGTTATTTCTTTTCATTTATTATTTCCTTATTTGTTGTTGTTTGTTTATATTACAAATTGATTATGAATATATGTAAAAGCTTATTGAAATTATTTTCATGTAATATTCATTGTGTTTAGATATAAATAAGTCGAAGGAATAATAAGGGATGAAATTAAACTGCTAACAAATCTTTCATTTAGAAAAGATTAAAGTTTAAACAATCATGCTGATGATGATAAGGCAGTTAATACTGGAAAAGAAAAATAAACACATGAAGGGATGAACAACAAAATCTCGTAGAATTATAAAAAATGACTGATAAGTATTAATCGATGATAAAAGGAAACATCCCCTACAAAATATTACATTTGTAATCAGAAAATTGTGATGGAATGAATTAGAACACTTTTAACGATAAATTAACAAATCAATTGATAATTAATATTGAAGAACAATAAAAGGGTACGTATTGGTAAGAGACATGGAGAAAGAAGAAGAAAGGGAAAGGTAAAAAAAAATGAGGAAGAAAAAAAAAGGTAAAAGAAGTAGAGAAAAAGCAATAGGATGGAGGGGGAAGGCGGGAAAGAAGAGGTTCGTTGCGTTCGTTGTTGAGGGCGTGACAGAGAAAAGCAGAGAGAGTGAGAGAGAGAGAGGGAACTAGACAGAGAGGAAGAAAGACGAAGAGGAGATCAGGGTTCGTAGTGGAGTGGGATCAGATGGTACGTAGTCAGTGAGTAGGTAAGGGGTGAGAGTGGGTGGTGGATCCCTAGTTAGCCATGACACATTGGCAAGCCATCGTGCCAGCATGGCAGTAGCCGACGTTAGTATTCGCAAGGACTTTGATGCGATATCGTCTTTTATTTTTCAAACAATTCTTACCCGAAACGTGCGTTAAAACAAACCCCTATATCTTCAAACTAATTCACAGTGATCATCCACACAACAATACAAACCAACATTTTGTTTCCTAAATATTAATACAAGTGTACGGATTAAAACTATAATTGTGTAACTAAACATATTGCTGATGTTGTCCTGTTGATTTATTTTTCTATAAAAAAACTTTATCAATGTGAACAAATTAATTTGTTATTAATACTTGAAGAAAAAAAGGATTCAGTTTTCTTTGGTGGATCGTAGATTCACTAGTGTGTACCAAATCTTCATCAGTTAACACACGTTTATTAATAAGAATGTTTAAGGATTAAATGTGTGATTTTGTATAGAAATAAAAGTGACAATTTTGTGGAATTATAATAATTAGATGATTTAAATGAATATGTGAATGATCTGATGAAATTTCAACAATATACATTTCAATTGAATTCTCTGTAACCTATACAAATATGATTCTTCAAGATCTAGTGGATTAACAAAATGAAAGGATTTAATTTGAACAAAAGTGTTAGTTTAACGTGTACAAGTGTTTTAATTGATAATTATTTATCATTAGGATGTACGTAAAACTTAAGCAGTTCAAATTTCATATGGAAGATGATCATCAGTTGGTTGACCGTACGATGCAAATGGAAGGAAACAGGGTAACCTTTCTTCTTACCAGAATCAAATCGAATAAAAGACGATTTAAATCGATACGATTGTGGATCGATCGATCGATCGATTAAAAAAAATATGATTTTAAAGGAGAATGATACTTTATCTATTTTATCCTGGTTGGATTGTCACGTGGGGGAAGATGCACATGGTTCTAAATCTATGAATGAAAATATTTCGTAGGTTTCCTGTAGAAGCCCTTAGAGGAGACCGGCAGGTCTTCCAAGCCATAAAGGTACCTTCATACTCTCTCTCTCTCTCTCTCTTTCTCTCTCTTTCTATCGGCCCATATATACACGTGCACACTTTATACTTTCAGTCATTCATAAAAAAAAAAAATATTTTTCACGATCCGATTTGCTTATATTTGCCAATCATCTCGTTATTACTTATCGTTCATCAATAAAATCAAATTCTATTCGTTGCTATCCCCCATCCTACTTTCGATTCGTTTCTCAATAATATCATACACTTACTGATTTATATAAATTCAAAAAATAAAATCAAATATATAGATATATTCGAACGTAACAGATAGAATACTCTCGATTGATAAAATTACAAATTAATTTGTTTCGAATAAAAAGCGAATTGTGTTCGCGGTTTTTTTAAATCGTTCGGAACAAGGGGGATGAAAAAAATGAAAAGGAATAAAAAAAAAGGAATGTATCGGTATTTTTTGTTAATCGATATTATAAGGTTGAAAAAAAAAAAAAACAAGAAAAAGAAAATAAAAAAGGTGTTATATATATATATATATATATAATTGGGGAAAATATATGTGTGTTAAACAGTAGAAATTAGCTGCGCTGACTGAGCTATGAGTGGTTGCCAAGGTTACCGGAGGGGCTGGACCAGATCTTTCTAGAGAGAGAGAAAGGAACATTGGCGCTATCGAGGATTTTGAGGAGGGGCGGGATACGGGGGGGTCGCTTCTAGGGGAGCTTGCAGCCAGAAATTTTACAGAGATGGAGTTTCTGCAGAATCATCACACGGTGAACACCTCCGAGTCGCCGTATACTCTCGGCACAGGTGAGAGAACAATACAAACAACATTTAGAAAAAGATATATATATATACCTAATATTTTCTCTCTCCTCGAATTAAAATAATAATAATAATTAAAATTTGTTGATACGTTAAATATATAATAAATCAATCGTTCAATTTTCTTTGAATTATTCAATTAACGTGAAAATGGTGTCGGGAACGCGTATATCTTCTTCCCGCGCGAATTTATGGTATTTCTTTCATTACGAGTCTGCAATTAAAAAAGTGAAAGAAAAGAATAAATGAATATGTAAATTGGATGATACGTCGTGGTGCACCTAGTTCATCGTCAACATTTATCATCGTCATCATCGTCGTCGTTGTCGTCGTTGTCATCATCATCATCGTCATCTTCATCAGTAAATGTTCAACGATTTCGTATTCGTAATTTCACATTTTTATTATCCTTCTTATTTACACGAATGTGATTCGTCTTCTTGTTGATTCAAAAAAAATGAATTAAAGTAAATCCCTCTCTCATAAATACTAATTTTTAGATAATCTAAAAAATATCCTTTAATTCGTTCGCTTATTAAATTTAATACGAATCTATTACTAACGCGAAAAGCTGACAGAAAAAAAATTATTACAAAAAAAAAAAAAAAATTAAAAAAAGGTTGAGAAATGACGTATTTATTAATATATACATATATATAATAATTACCTCTACATATATATGTTCATATAATAATAATAATAATAATAATAATAATTCATAGGATCGGTGGGTACAATCGAGGCAACCATACCATCCGCACTTTGCACCGGTTCATTGGGTGTTCTTTCGAATGAGGATACCTTGACCGACAATCAAAATGAAGAAACTTTAAGTGCTTTGCAAGGTACATTACGTTTGCAAGATTTACAAGCTTCTACGGACGATATTACGGGAAGTGGTGATCAAACTCAACAACAAATTACAAATTCAGGCCAAAACCAAGTGGTCGGTAGTGAATTTGGTAGTGGGTTTTGGGTCGACGATATGGCAGGTTTTCCACCATTGGATTTGGATCCTTTGCCTGGTTTGTTCAGTCCTTGTTCGGGGACATACAAGTGAGTACTTTCGTCTATTTTTCTTTTTATATATTTATATACACGTGCATGTGTTTCTCCTTTTTTTTTTTTTAATTTTTTTTTTTGTTTTACTTATATACAATTTCTTTTTATTTCAAATCGGATGCTTGCAAATTAGGGTGGCTCTTACGCATAGAATTTATATAATAATTATGATTATTAATATTATATTATTATTATTATTGTTGTTATTATTGTTATCAATAATAATATTATTAATTACGTCAAATTAAAATTTGAATATTTTAATTACCGATCGGAATCTATTCATTCATAATTATTTTAATAATAATAATAATAATATTAATAATAATAATAAAATTGTATCCTTTTGTATCACGAATACGAATATATATTCAAATAGAAAGAAAATGAGAAAAGAAAATATGCACTTAGGTCGCGTCTGATTTGTATCATACTTCGTCTACTTTCTGCTCTTCAGATATAAGGATTACTCCACTTTGTTATCCTTTACGATAAAAAATATGAGTATTGTGTTGGTTCTTTCAATAGAGAATTTTAATGATTTTTATTCATTTTCTTTCTTTAAATCATCATATATATATATATATTCGTTATATTTTTGTATTATTAAATAATCAAGAATAAAGAGAGAGGTAACGAAATGTTTCTTCTCCCAAACTTTTCTTCATATATTTGTATTTTCTTAATTAATTACTAGTCTATTTTTTTATTTTTTCAATTTTTGTTAACCACATTTCTATCTTTCTTTCCTTCTTTCTTTCTTTATTTATTTTCTTACAAAAATTATCCTCTCGAAAAATTGTTCGTAATATTTATATCTCGTATAATATATTTTAATAATAACAATAATAATTATTATTATTATAGAAAGAAAAAAAGAATTTCTACAATAATATATTTATATATATATATATAAAAATAGAAATAAAAATTAATTGAGATAAAAGAAGGAAAAAAAATGCAATCGTTAACGTAAAGGTTTGTCCCACGCACGACGTACCTTTATAATTTTAAAAGCGTTTTTACAGTTGGGGATGTCCAAGAGGTGATTGCGTACCAAGGGCGAACAATGGGAACGGCGAGGGTGTCGCAGACGTATTGTTATCCTTGAAACATGCCGTGGTACATCCTGGAAGTCCTACAGGAGGATATTATTCTTCAACGGGCGGCCCTAATACGCATCACTATACCCAAGATTACACCCAAAACTTAGGCCCACCCGTAGGCCCGCCAACTCATTACACTTCGGCACCCGCAATGTCCGTCAACGTTTCCATGAACATGACGATGAACATGAACTTGCATCATGGGTAAGTTCCCTTTATTATATTAATATTATTTTGAGTCTTTTTTTGTATTCTCTTCTCTCTCATAGCATTTTATTTTTATGTGAGATTGAAAATAAAATTGAAATAAGGGATGCATAATAGATATAAAATAAAAATAAAATCAATTAATGCGTCTCAGGGGATAATTATTATGTCAGGGGATTGAGTCTAAAAAATTATATTTTTTCTATTACAATTATTAATTTCGTAAAAGACAAATCTATTTTTGTTGACTTAATCCGCTATCATAAAACTACCAGCATATCGATATATATACAATAAATCACAAGAATATTCGTATTTCTGTTATCATTGATTAGAAATAATTGAACACGTTATGTGTACTGTTTTCGGTATACGCTGAAACTAAAATGTTACAATAAGTTAGTTTGTCAAATTATACTTAACACAGAAGTTGTAAATGCGTGAGGCTATTGTATTATATAATTTAACGAATTGTACTGTTCAATTTCAATATTAGAATACAAAAGAACATTGTTTGTTTGGTTAAGTAATAGCAAAAATAAGAAAAACATACAAAATGAAGATATTTAATATTAAAAGAGCAGAAAACATATTAATAATCTTAAAATAATTTTCATTCGTATAAAAATGTAGAAACTTTGCATTACGAATAAATATATCAATTGTTTCTAATTGATAATGGAATTAAGAATACTCCCAGTGATTCATTGTAAATATAATATAAAGGGGTATATAAAAGAAACATTAAATGCTATATTACAATTCCGCCATTCTTTTGGATAAGGTAAAAGGGAAAGAAAGGAAAAAAAATATATATATATAAAAGTAAAGGTGTCACAAAATAGAAGAAAAAAAGAAAAAAGAATAGAAATGAGAGAGTAAGAGAAAGAGAAAGATAGAAAATATATATATATGCGTGTGTATGCGTAGATACGAGCAAGGTTATTCGTCGGCATGGGGTGCAGAGCCCTTGTTAAGTCCCGCTCCCCAATACAATCCAGTGGAAGCACAGACGAGAGTAAATCAAGCACCAACCAATGGGCTGATAGGTGGTAGTAGTACTGGTCACGCCCACGCTCATCCCCATCCGCATTCTCACCCCCGTCTCCAAGGACCGAATGAGCATGCGCTTTGTGTCAATGGTGGAGGAGCAACAGTCACCACCCCGGACGACAATGGCAGACCAAACCTTTGCAGGATATGCGGAAAATCTTATGCTCGACCTAGTACACTCAAAACTCATCTTAGGACTCATTCTGGCGAGAAACCGTTCAGGTCGGCTTTCTTTTCTTTTTTCTTTATTCTTTTTCTTCTTAATTTTGTTTAATTTTTATAGGTTGTTTGTTTGTTTGTAGTGTCATAATCTGTTCATTTGTTGTGTCGGGTATTGTTCATCTCTCTTTAAACCTTCTTTCCTTTTCCTCTTCTTATTCTTCTTTTTCATTGTCCTTCTCTCGTCGTTCATTTTCTTTTACCCCATTTAAAAAAAGGTTCTACTTCAGGAAGGGTATCATTATCATGGTATTAATCATCTTGTGGTTATTCCATCCATCCCCCTTCTTGCTTCTAACGGACTACGTTCAAATGGACACAGCCTCGTTACTGTTGGAAATAGAAAAAGGATATGATGATATCGAATTGTCAGATCTTCCACCAACCGAAACTAATATGCGATTATTATTTGTATTTCTTTTTTTTTTTTTTTTTCTTTTTCTTTTTCCTTAAACACGTAATAGTAATATTTATGATAATTAAAAAATTGTTTAAAAATTCGACAACGCCGCGCGATCAAAAAGAAAAATAGAATAAGAGACAGATAATAAGAGAGAGAGAGAGAGAGAGAGAGAGAGAGAGAGAGAGAGAGAGAGAGAGAGAAAGAAAAAGAGAAAAAGTTAAGGGTTGTTTTCTTAAAAGGGTGATATAATCATCGAGAATAATTTATATCATTGAATGAGACAGAATAAGAGAGAGAAACAGACAGACAGACAAGACAGAGTTGAGATTATTTATAATATATATATACAAAAAATTGTTTAAATAATAAATGAAACACAAAAAAAAGAAAAAAGGAAATGTGATGATTTGATCGCAGATGTCATGCATGCTCGAAAGCTTTCAGCCAAGCTGCCAACTTGACTGCCCATACGAGAACACATTCAGGAGAGAAACCATTCCGATGTCCAGTTTGCGATAGAAGATTTTCACAAAGTAGTTCCGTGACGACACATATGAGAACTCATTCCGGGGAACGTCCTTACAGGTACGATGATGATTTTTATTCTTCATTATCAATTTTTCATACATAGGGATAAGGTTGCTCAAGTCGTACCATTGCTTAAATCGTACCTTTAACTTTGTTTAATTGATTACCGTATCAACAGCATTTCTAGTAAGACAATCAACAATATTGATTCATTCAATTAGTTTTTGTTATCATCGGTGTACTAGCATAACCTTTTAATAATTAAATTTATGACTGTTTTCTTTTTTATTATTTTGTGTATATGCTTTTGATAGGTTTTATACAGCTATGTAATATTGACACACAAATTATTGTTCTTATTTTAAATATTTATTTTTTGTGGTATTAAAATAATCGTTTTTTGTTTTTCGAAATGATACCTTAAACTACTTCAATTATTGTTTTACTACGTTTATTTGTAATAAAACATACATCTTGATTTTTAATACTCATAGAAGATATTTAAATTGTATTGGTACGACTTAAAAATAGCCTATTTTTGAGAATTTTTAATTGGAATATGATAAGTCCAAAGAAATGTTCGTTTGCAAGCCATTATTATACAAACTTTCAAAAACATTTGTTCATTTTTTTTCATTGCAAGTCGTCACATAATGGCAGCGCCATAGCTTAGCAAAGAAAACCTCGTATCGAAAACAATGTTCTGCACAATTTCAACAATTCATGACCGATTCACTTGAAATTTATACTAAAATTATCTAAGGAATAACTTAAGGGACTTCGCGTCATTTAGTTAACTTATTTTTATGAACAATTTTTCACATATATAATTTTACTTCGATAAATGAATCTTGAAAATATGAATGAATTGCACATATATAAAGGAATTAACAAAAAAATATTTTTATGATTATTGTAAAAACTGATTGTACTTAATAAATATCAATAAATATTACCTTTCATTATTTTGGTTTAAATTTTATTCTTGGATACGACTTAGGCTGTAAATAATACGACTAAGGACCCTGATTCCTTAGTCATGCAATATTCATTTATTACATTTTGTTAATTTAATAAAATAATTAAAATCAATGTGTTAAATGATGTTATCTTGTTTATATATATATAAAATTACACATTTTAGATGCTGTTTTTCTTAATACGACTTGAGCAATCTTACATATATATAAATATGTTTTTTAATTTTTATATTTATTCTGAAACTTTTTAATAACAACAACTAATAAATTCTAATTTATTTATATAAATAAACTATTATTCCATTCAAATGATTTATATACATATATACATATATATATGTATATGTATGTATGTATCTAAAATAATAAGTATATATATCTATATAC